GCTCTGCTTACTTTACCAATCTGTTGCAAATGTCCTTGGATAGTCGACCAAGGTTGGTTAAGAGTGTTTCACAGTTCCTCGATTGTCTGACACGGATTTGCTTCCACTTCCGCCCTTAACATGTCATTGTCTAAAGTTGTTGCTCTTCCTAATCGGTACAAGTAGGGAAAATCAAAATTACCGGATTTGAACTTAGAAAATCACCTTTGGAATTTACAAACGTCTAATGCACTTGGATAAACATCGCAAATGTTTTTGGTAGCAACTGTTGCGTTACTACCCTTGCGAAACTCAAAAAGCATACAATGCCGGATATGTACCTCTTCTGGTATTTGGCTGGCCATTTCACCATAAATTGCAAAAAAAAACTTAAGATTTAATTATTTACAAGTAAACAAGTCATTCTAACATTAAAATATCTTTGGCACGACTTTGAAGTACACAATGAGCTGATAAATGACAAACGAATATCGACATGCGCAGAAACGACGTTACTTTCCGGTCCCCCTAATACATACAACACTATTTAGATTTTCATTATGATTTATGGTTATCATTTTAAATCTATACATGTTTTAAATTATTTTTGGCTCTTTAAATTTGTGTTTCTTCTAACAATATTTTATATCTAGAATTCATGGAAACAGCAAATAATAATACGTCGTTATCTAATTTTTCGCCAGAATTAAAAAGTTTATTAAATGAAATGAAAGAAAAACGAAATATAAACCGTAGAATAAAAACGGAAATAACCAAAATAGCAAAACTTACACCAAATAGATTTTGAACAAAGCCTTCCATAAATTTTTGATGGCAGAAAGATAACAAATCTTATAAAGTATTTATTTTACCAGATTATGTTACTAAATTGTTGCCAGAAATGCAACAGAGCCCGACAGGCTACCCGAACGTACAAGGGACCGGTGGGATAAAAGTCTAGGACTTCTTCATATTGGTTGAAAGACGTATAAGCAGCCGATCTTGCTGCCCGTACGTCGTTTTGCGCGTTCACTTGGCACGAGATACGACCGTGTCTTTTAATTTTCAATCAAAACCAGAAATTAAAAAACAATTTTTTATTACTTTCTCGAAATCTCAAAATTTTTGTATGAAACATTTTTTTCAAAAAATAGTTCGAAAAAATAATTGAAGTATTGCATAAAATGAGTCACAAAATATAAAATAGCAACCAAAGACCTATTTTCGTTGTATTTCAATATTCGTGTCTTCTTAATTATAACACACACACACACACACACACACACACACACACACACACACACACACACACACAAAATACATATGCATTATTTATAATCATAGTATAATTTTTCTGATTTTTATTATATTTCTACTATACATACAAAATTTCATTATCTTTTCTTTTTCGTCGATTTGATCCATTCAGATTGTAATTCGCGTAACATTTGAGGCGTTAAAAGTCCTTCTGCCAATAATCTTTCGGTTAATTTACCTTTACCTATGCCACGTTTTGTAGTAGCTTGGTAACCTAAAAGCAAATTATATAATATGTAAAACTTGTTACAAACATATATATAAGTTTTCATCTATATCAAGGCATTGGAAAAAAATATATATACTTCAATAATGCATTGTGGAGCTTAATTTAAGATGAAAATCATATTATACTTCAATAAAATATATCATAATTCGATAAAAATAGATTATACTTCAATAATGTATTGTGGAGCTTAATTTAAGATGAAAATCATATTACGAAAATGTCGAGATCATAATAGTTTGTATATGATATATGTTTAAAATTTGTTAATTGCATCATATGGGATTTTGTGTACTCTTAAAAGAACCGTCGGAAATATCATTTCCAATTTTGGTGGGCTTCAAATATATATATATGTAGAACAACAGGAAACATTAGGCTCATATTTCTTATATCTAGTTGAGGTTTAAAGCTCTACGCAATGGAATAATATTAGGGGAATAAAATATTAAAAATAAGAATTATGATTAGTAGTGTGATTAAACATAATATACAATGGAAAAGAATGAAATGTAAGATATAAATATAGGAATTGTGTCGTACAGCCGTTTATTTCATTCCGTTGTGTGAAAATAATTCTTATTCATAATATTTAATATTTATTCTTATTTCTAATATATGTCCTAATATGTGCAAGGTTTAAGAGTTGGAATAACACCTCTGAAATAACGGATATTTTAGTTTTCCACGGATACTAAATATAAGAAAAATTTTGGGCTTGTGTTTGTCACTAAGAATTAAAAAAAATATTTATATAAAAGTTTTAAAATATTTAATCTTTGCAGTGGTATATTAAGATTTCTCGTCAATTTTTTTAATTTTACCTTCCCCGCCCATTATTTTCGTGAATTTTGAAATTATTGCAAAGACAAAAATTAAAAACCATAAAATAACAAATCTATAGATATGAAGCATTTCAACATTATTTCTAATTAGAATTCCAGCTTTTTTTTTAATAATATATAGGATGCTTGAATTAATTCTCGCTGTTTTTTGCTACAAAAATTCATGTTGAATTAAAAAAAAAACGGTACATTATATCTTATTCAAAATATTGTCTTTCGGAAGTTACAAACTTTTGCCATTTTTCGGGTAATACATGGATTCCGCGGTAGAAAAATTCATGTTCTTTCGAAGCGATCCATTCATCGAGTCATTTCTTGATATCTTCGAAAGAACTGAAGTGCTGCTCAGAAAAGCAATGCTGCATCGACCGAAACAAATGGTAATCTGAAGGAGCAACGTCTGGTGAATAGGGCGGGTGGGATAAGATACATCCTATCCAAGTGCCTCCAAGATTTTCTTCACTGATGTTGCAACATGTGATCTAGCATTGTTATGGAGAAGAATAATTTAGTCATATCTTTTGGTGTATTGCGGGCGTTTTTTCTGAATACTCGATTCAAATTGAATAATTGTCGTCGATAGCGTTCAGCATTGATGGTTTGACTTGGTTGCAGTAACTCATAATATACTACATCGATTTGATCCCACCAAATGCACAGAATGACCTTTTTTCCATGAATATCCTGTTTTGACATTGATGTTGATGGTTGACCGGGACACATCCATGATTTCGTGCATTTACGATTGTCGTAACGAATCCATTTTTCATCGCCAGTCACAATTCGACGCAAAAACGATTTCCGTTTTTGTCTTTGAAGCTGCAATTCATAAATGATTAAACGTTTCGCAATGTCTTTTTCTCTCAATTCATGTGGGACTCAGTTTCCTAGCTTCTGGATAATTCCCATTGCTTTTAAATGTTTACTAACGGTTGACTTATCGACATTTAGTCTTTCCGACAACTCTTTGAGCGTCTGACGTGAATCTTCTTTCAGTAATACCTATATTCTCCATCTTCAAACTTTTTCGGCTGACAGGACTCTGTCATTCACGTCAAAATCGTTGTCTTGAATCGTCTAAACCAATATCTTCAGATAGAGCATGCTTCTCATACGCCTCCACTAGCAAACAATGACTTTCAGCAGCAAATTTCTTGAAATGAAAGCAGAAGTATTGCTTCCCGCAAATGTTTTTTTTTTTTTGGTACGAAACCCGACATTTTCAATGCAATAAAAAATTGTGTTCTTTGCACTGCGGTCTGTCATACACTGATTATTAAAGCCTAGTGACAATATTTTCATATACATCAACAGTCATTTACGGCCATGTTGAAATTGCGCAACTACTGACCTCTGTTAGTCAACAGCGAGAATTAATTCAAACACCTAACATAAATATTTTTATATTTCTAAACAGAATTCTGGTGATTAACACTACTAAAATAGCAATTAAAAACTGAAATACTAATATTAAACATTACAGCCGAATAGTTTAGTGGGTAGGCCCGTCTCGCAAGAGATGAGAGAGTCCCACATATCCCCGGGAGTCTCCCCGAACCCCCGGGAGATGCGTAACGCATTTCTTCTGTTCTAACAAAAAAGGGCCTGCACATAGAAAAAGTTTCTTTTAATTGATTATTCCTGTTTGTTTGATTTTAATTAGGATTTGTTCCCAATTTTGTTTCAAACTTATTATTCAGATTAGCCATTATAATGTTTGATTAAAAGCCAAAAAAAGTCATGGCGTCTCTGGTACAATATATATTATATCAATATTCGTTGAATATCTGTAGTTTTTTTTTAACGTCTACCACTAAATGCCGTTAAAATGTTTTGTGAGTACTATAAAGATATATAAGCATAAGTCACAAGGATATCGTCAGATCCAGTGAAGTCAATGCTAGCCACCCGATCATCGAAATCAAGTAACAGAGAGTGCGGTTACTAAATGGATGGGTATAACCGGCTATCGATTGGATTCGAAACCGCGGAAGGATATGAAGTGACAATTTTTTTCCTCTGTACATGTTAGAAGGTCTAAGCAAATGTTTCTTTAAGTCTCAACGTGGAAGAAATGGCCAAAAGTTATTTATAAAGTTTTATATAAAATATTTTTATCGGGAGTAAAAGTTTCCTGGCATATTGTATGAATATTAATACAATATTGCGTTTAAAGTTTCTGGGATGTTAACGGAATAAGTTTAGATAAACATTTTCATGTTAATGGAAGGTTAATGGTAAGTTTATTAATCTACGTAGAATGTTATCCTCTTATAATTTACAGTTAATCTTATTAGGATATTGATGTGTCGTGAGGATTAACATTGGTAAATTTATTGATAAAAATTTAGAAGTATATAACAAGCCATTAACGACATAGAAATAGATAATAAAAGTTACACTAGTAGTATACGAAATGCAAAATTATCACTATATAAGTAGAACATAATCAGCATATATTCTTACAATGTAATAGTCGGAACAGTACCTCATCGATTTTGATGAGTCTTGGATATATTATAAAGCATCAAAAAATAAAAGACCAATATTTTTTTAGCGGCGCATGTCAACGTTTAGGGGTTAAAACAACCCCTTGAAAAAAAAACGGACTTTATCATTTTTAGGATATATCTTCTAAAGTACGAAATATACGAGGTCTGGCTATTAAATAACGAGACTGCTTATGAAAAAGTTTTATTTAAAAAATTATTCTACAATCGAATGCTCCCTTTCAATGTACTCCCCTCCCCTCGCCACACACCGTTCCATTCGTTTTTTCCATTGGTCAAAGCAATGCTGGAAGTCTTCTTTTGTAAGTGTATTTAGGAGCTCCGCCGATTTTCGCTTCACCTCTTCCATCGACTCGGAACCGGATTCCTTTTAAGACAGACTTGATCTTTGGAAACAGGAAAAAGTCACAGGGTGCTAAATCAGGCGAGTACGGCGCGTGTTCGAGCACTGGAGTGCTTCCAGCGGCTAAATAACGCTTCACAGACAGCGCGTTATGGGCAGATGCATTGTCCTGGTGCAGATTCACGACTTGTTTTTCCACAACAGTTTCTTTATCGGCGTTTACAGTCTCAGCAATCATCCTAATGCTCATACGATGATCTCCGCGCACAATTTCATTGATTTTGGTCACTGTTTGCGGAGTTGAAACAGAGACAGGTCGCCTGGACATTGGTCATCTTCGGGGCTCTCTCGGCCTTCAGAAAACCATTTATACCATTCGAAAACACGCGCACGAGATAGAGAATTCTCACCATAGGCTTCTTTCAACAAGTTATAGCACTCAGTCGGAGTTTTTTTTAATTTAACGAGAAATTTCACATTGATCCGTTGCTCGTGTTTTTCGTCACACATTGTTATCGGCACGAGAAAAAAACACGTTCGTTTCTAACCTCTATAGAAAAAATACTACTATACTACTATAGCGACAAAAACGAGTTTTCGTACTGGAATAGTAGACATTTCCACCTATCCAACGCTGCATTCGTTTCCCCCCCTACCCCTCTAGGACGACTTCTGCGCGCGCAGTCTCGTTATTTAATAGCCAGACCTCATATTAAAAAATATCTCGTACAAAATTTTTATAATATTTTATACTCTTTGCAACGATATATTCAATTAAAAAAAAAATATCGCATTTTTTCACCTTCTTCCCCTCCACTAGTTACTTTCGCAAATTTTTAAATTATTTAAAATTTTTATTTTTTTATTTAATTTAAATTGTATTAGAACAAGAATTATACAGCATTCAATGCAAACTCCATCCATATCTAATAATAGAAAGTACTCATGATTAAATCTTTGGAAAACGACATGATAATATGGTGTCATTGGTGCTATAGGCGCCGCACCGTGCGAGTAGGTAGCTACTATTTCGTTGTATTATTTTTCTTTAGCAATGCTTCACAACTGCTTATGCATATTTTTTCATACTACAAGATGACAACGAATTAATCCTTATGATACATTGTGCAATGTGTTACACGAAATTAAAACGTGAGTATAGATAAATTTGCAAAAACATTTTAAAGTATTAAGTTTCATTCGCTATTTGATAAATTCGCATATATAATAACAGTAGGAAATATATGGCATCGCTATTTGTAAAAAATTTCCAAACGTATATTTCTTGAA